ATAAATATATAAATTTTAGGCGTAATTCATTCTATCCGCGAGCTGTATGCCACTATGTGTCCAGGTGGTTATATGAAAATGTACACGATGGCACTACCTTCAGTGAGATTTGCGTCCACTCCACTACATATCCCACTTTTATAATTTGGTATGCAGTAGTATCACTACAGTTCAGCGGTAAATATGGTAATGGAATTTCAATACAACATGAGAGTGGCGTCGTCATGGATACCGTACCCAAACGTAAATAGGCTCGCTACTCCTGTCGGATGTGAAGTTGATAACACAGACCACCCACTCAACAAAGGACACAATGATAGCAATCCTTATCGTCTCTTCGTATGCATTGTTCTAAAGCAACACTCTATCGCTGAATTGAAAAGATACTGATTATAGTGTTTATATCTTGTTTGCAGGATCTGCCAAACAGTTTGCAGCCGCATGTTCAGATCTTTTCGCTACCGCAGGAATGGCTGTGGTGTGAGACATGGTGCAGCTTAGAAACCAAAGCAACAGCGAAGACCATTGATCTGGTGAGTGTTTACTGAAATATGCTTTTTTTTGTTTAAGGCCGAAACAACACATACAAATGAATTATAAATGTGCATATATATATAGCACTATGCTTGATTCCAAACTCTCGAAATTCACTTTCTTTATATGGAAGTTTGCTGAATAAGAGAGCGTGTCTCACAATTTAATTTTGATTCAGTCTGTTCGTATTCCCCATTAACATTCTAATATCTGTTGGCTATTATGGGTAAGCAGCTGTGTCGCGTGTCAGACGTTTAGTATCCATTTATATACAAGTTTCGGAAGTATACCAGTGCACATTAGCACACTCTGATTCTCTTTCTTCTATGCGGTTGTCTATCACTGATGTTGACCTTATACAGCAATGCGCCATTTTAACCTGGACTACTCTAATATTCATCTCTAGTGTAATAACCCGGAAACAAAAGAACCCAAACTGATTGCCGCAAAAAGAATTGTGCCCGAGTGGGTGGCACTGGATATTGAAGTACAAGCGCTGCATGACGAAGTACACGCCGCACCTCCTGCGCAAGTCGAAACAAAGCAGGAGCTGTAGTTGTCTACAAAGATAGTGCCACAATTTAACATTAGTGCAGACTTGAAACAACAGTCTGGCCGACTGAACGCACTTCTTTGTGCCAGAATTTTGCAATAAACAGAGAGCACCTTGTGTGCGTAGATATAATTGTGGCGTCATTGGTAAAGACATCATAAATCGCAATGCATGCGCTTTCAATGTACTCGGACGGGGGTCTGATCAGTCTACGCAGTTTGAAAATAACACACTGTCAGGCAAGTGAGGCCCTAGATGTATCATCGCCATATTCCAATATGAGCAGTAAGCATAGACTGAGAGATAGTTCAATAGGATAACTTGACAAGATGGTGACAGGTCACAAGACATATGACATTGTCACGAGGATTTACTAGGCTCGTGTGCTTCCATGTCAACCCAACCCTTTTTTAAACGGTATGTGCTGATTACTATGCAATACTTGTTCAATTTAGGAGGCTATGCAATACTGTGTATTTATTTTACTGTTCGAATTTCAGACCAAATCAGTGCTACTATTGAATACTTACATTGCAGATCTGCGATCCTCGCTGCGTCGCTCCCTTCTTCATTTACTGCACTGTGCACATCAATATTCACCAGCCACATTTAAAAACTCTTATTATTGGAAACATGCCTCTATTCCGAGGTATGTTTGAAATAGTATATTTACAATTGTACAGTAATTAACAATTACTGTACATACTGACTTTGTTTTTATAGAAAAATGGCCCCATATACGATATTATCGACAATATATGTTATCTCAAAAACAGATGACAATATCTGGGCTCTCTAGTAGAATAGAGCGGTTGGCGGATGTCGTCTCTACGGATCGTCAGTTTGCGACAGCAATGAGAATATGTTTGTTGCTGTCTGTAAATAGTTTTCTATAATTAAAACATAAATACTTATTTTTGTGGCATTTCGTTTCAACTGCTGCGAAGAGAGTGCCAACCGTATAAAAACGAGAGGAACCGAGGACTGATCCTTGAAATTTGGATTCTTAATTCTGGACCTGGATTCAGGATTCAGGATTGTATATTGGATACTCCATAGGGCATAGTTGACCTCGGAGCCTGAAAGGCATTTACCTCGTAAGACAATCGACTCCGAGAGTGCCAAAGTCCGAGTACGAACTCGCAGCTTTGAGCTTTGGACTCCCACTCTCCCAGGCTCCCAGTCTGGCAGTCTCCCAAGTCCCAAGTCCCAACAAGGGTTGGAGTATCAACACTCCAAAAAGGTATTTTATTTAAAATATGTATACATACAACAAGCAACCAACAACAAGAGAGAAGAGAATCAGAATACAAGAAGGGTCAAAAACAGACAAAAAGGCAAAGTAGAAATATCAAACAACCACATAGAACTTGATGAATTAGGGCGTCCTTGAACGCGAAACAAAAGTGGGTTTCGTCAAATTCGGATAGCACTTTAATTTTACTTTCAAGGTTCAGGGGCATTCAAGGCGGTATGGTTTTACGGGATCTTCAAAATATTGATAATTACCGTACTATAGCTCAGATTTTATTCTATCACACACTGACAATTTTTACGGTTACTTCTCATCAGTCAAAAAATTAATCTGAAATAGTTCATGAGAGCCGAGCCGAGGACACGGTCATTTTAGGACTCTGGCCCTTGCATCCTTGATTTCGAACAAAATTTCTTGAACCCGTTAATATAAGGCTGGTCGTTAGAAAATATTTCAATAGAGTAAACAATATACAAATAAACCTAGGCTCACAGTCATGACTCATGTGTCATGACACATATGTAGGCCAAGCCCTCTAAATTATACAAGAGAGAGGGTCAGAGGGCGTCTTATGACATTATGGTATTTTTTAAAACGTTTGTAAATCGATGAGAGGGACGAAGGCTGTCGAAGGTAGAAGGCAGCTGATATTTGTTTTTATATTCAATAGAATATGGTATATAGAGTAAAGAGCTGCTCGGTGAACAAACCTTGAATCAGGTGGGCTGCTGCAGAATTCGTAAATATTTCGTAATACTGAATACACGCGGGCCACGCGGTCCACGACAACGAGCATATTTGTGACCATATGTATATGCATGTACGGGCCAAAATCCGGCTGGCCACCTCTCTGACTCTTGCTAGATATTTAAAAATATAGTCTCACTACTGCTATCTCTAGAGAGAGTAGAGCAGGAGTAGAGAAACTCTACTACTAGGTCTCTGTCCTCAGAGGTATGTACTTAGTAGTACACCGAATTTGTTTTTTAATAAAGACAAGACCGAGAAAAAAAACAACCCAAAAAGAAAAAGAAAAATGCACCTCACTTTCAGTCACTTGAAAAATCATAGCCTTCTAAAAATGACAAATTCAATAAAAATATTTTGAAAATTCGGATTTTGGCTACACCAATTGGTAAAGGATAATTATAAAATTTCAAATAAAAGCGAATAAAAAGCCCCAAAACAACAAACATAAATCCGAACGAGGGCAAACTTCCGTGGGCGTTAAGTGATTGGGTAGAAATTAATTGCTATTGTTCAATAACTTTTCTGCAACCTTTGTTTATTGTTACCTTTCTACTTTTCTGTAGTAGAGTGGTCAACTCTAGTCATCCCGCTTGAAAATCACGAGATTTGTCCATTTTATCGAAATGGTCCGAATATTCATATTGGATAAAATTGAATTGGTTCACCCGAAAAATAAAATCCGTATACGTATATACCGAGCATAAATCCGAACCATGCGCAATTTCCATTTAAAAAAATTACTTTTTATAAAAACAAATACAAGTACAAAATAGAATCTGACTGAGTACCTTTTCCTCTCGCTACTCTACTACCTAGTGAGAGAGAGAGAAAATGTAACTAGCATTGGTTAGTTTTATACTTTATTTAGTTTCATAAAAAAAAGTGGCTGGCGAGTGGCGACACTGAAAATTTAAAAAAAAATCGTATTTTTAGATAAAAACGAGCAATGAAGATTGATGTTATTGCTAGAAGAGTCGGAGTCATATTTGTAAATATGCTTTTACTTTTTTATTCAAAACAGGTATGTACCGCGGTCGTCGCAACCTGTCCACCTTTTAGTTGTCCACTTCGATAGATGTCTCTTTTTATTCGTTTTTTTGCTAGTATATACGGGTGGATGTGAAGATGCATGTATAAAGTATTGTACGGGTGTGTAGTACTGTATTGTGAGTGTGAGGAACAGCAAGGTGTGTATGTTGTCGTGTGTGGTGTAGCACTTACTAGATATAGTTGGTCAATATAGACTCATAACCTGTTAGACAGTGTAAGCGAGTTTATTTAGTCTTCCGCTAACAGTGTTCTCTACAGAAGATCATTTCAATTAGTATGAAAACAATATTGTATGCTTAATATCAATCAATCACTCTTTTCTATTATATACCTCATAGGCAAATGCAGTCATAGTAACACAGACGTTTGGTTGATTCAATGCACTCAATATTTCAGAATGTCACAAATATCCCTCCCGTGACGGTCAGGGACTTGGACAAATAAAAATAAAGACCGTCCTGAAGAGTGAAGACCTGCTTCAGGGCTTTTTTCTTCTGAAGAATACAGTGAAGAGTGAAGACTGAAGAGTGAGGTGACTGAAGTCACCACTCATTTCTCATAAATAAATACTCAGTTTTATTTCTGTCATAATAAATATTTAGCAAAAAAACAAACAAGGCAGTAAAGTACGTACTAGTTTTTATTTATAAAAAAATATTATATGTACTGTACTTTTGTTTGTTGTAAAAAAACAAACAAATAATGATACGCAAACTGCCAGCACAGCTTCTCTACTGAAAGCTAAAATTTGAAACATGAAATCTGAAATGGGTTGAGCTATGGTATTTATTGAAATAAATAAATAAAAATCCCATTTTCCCTGGTTCCCATCGCCACGCATGGTCACGGCCTTAACCCACTATTCAGTGCTCACAGAGTAGTCCTGTCCCAGTACCATCTGATGAGCACGCAATAGATCTCACTGTTATTGGACGCAAACGGCTTCTATTTAAATTGGAGGTTAAAAAATATGTCGAGTCATGATTATCCACGAGACCACAACTGATAGCAGTACTCGGGGAAAAATGATATACATACAAAGTTAAATAAGAACATGCGTCCGGGACTCCGGCTAGCGAAGTTCAAATGCAGGAATTCGTCAATCATCTCACATCCACAACCTGCTACAGATTGCAATTTTGAAATCCTAACAGAATCCATATATATATACAACAATCATTTTGTGCTACAACCGTCACAGAATACCACGGCAGCAACTAGACTAAAAAAAGCAGGGACAATGGTACTCAAAGGCAAGAGGCGGAGTGACTTTACAGGTGCAGACATAACACCTAAAGAAGGTCTGCAAGGTGGTCGTAGACAGTACAGGCACAGTGTAACCAGTAGACTACCAAGAAACGTGTGGGATGTTAGTTCAATGGCGGCAGTAATGCACACTCCAATGTCAACTGAGAGTTTGTCGGAGACGCTGAGCATACTCAATCTATCTGATACTTCTAAAGATGTAATTTTGACTAAGTCGCACAGTTTCAGCAGTCGAGATAGCGAGAGAGACGAGACTAATGACGAGTACGCTATGCGTAAACCACAAAGTCGTCGTAGAACTAGACGGACAACTGCTGATCATTCTTTGCATTCGCAAAAGGACACGTACAGGGATGGGAGCAGGTGTGAATGCTGCAAGCCGTTGGGGGATCTCTTCAGGCATCTATCGCATTCGGGGTCGATTGAAGATATGAGATGGCATAGGAAAAGGCCAACCGTCATTTCCGATTGAACAGTTATAATATTGTATACTTAGATATCAATAAATTTGGGCACTTTATTATTATTAATGATATAATCTAACCGGTCTGTTCTACGCCGAGATTTCAACGTTATTTGTAATTATACGATCGAGTGACTGTGAGTGTGATTATCAGGTCTACTATCACCACGGGTCTGGTCTGTAAGGGTGTTTTGGCGGCATTCCACGAGTCAAGAACGTGCAAAATCCTAAACCCTAAAACTTCTATGAAATGATGCGGTATTGTGTTCTGTTGTTTGCTACAAATCGATGGTAGCGATGATTGAAATGAACATTATATATATGTAGTATTAAATTAATCATAACTAATCGATAATAGCGAGTTCAATGCATGTGCCTATCTGCTTGTAAAGCTCACCTCGGTACTATTCATGTGGTGTGCCATGCCAGTATTCCTTAACACCACTTGGAATATTCTAAAACTCCCACTATTACATATGCTTAACTTGCATAGATAAAATTGGCCAATCGGCTTGTATTATGTACATACATTATTTTAATAAAACTTCAATCGATTAGTGAGTTATTTGTATGGGCGTATCTGTTTATAAAGCTCACTGCGGTACTCATCATGTGGTGTACCGTTGTTCGTCCTTGCAGCACTTGGAATATTTCAAACTCCCACTATTACGCGCCTGACTTGCATAGATAAAATTGGCCAATCGGGTTGATTCTAAATCGGCACGTCAACCTATCCTAGGCAAGTTGACCCATATCTCAAGTTAATCGAGTCGATTATTAGTGCTTGGGTCCAATCGACATCTTCAAAGATCGTCAAAACCATCGTCCTCACCGAAATCCTGTGTATGAAAGTACCAGTAAGTATTGACGACAGATAGGATATTATTACAGGTGCGGAAAGGATGTGCAGGAGCCGAGGAAAAAAAGATAATAAAAAGATAAAAACATTATACGTTGTGGTTCTAGCAGGGGTTCAGAATAAACCGCAACTCAAGACATACTAACGTACACGGAGTAGTGTGTCGTAGGCCCCGATATGGGAGAGCATCGCACATATGGATAGGTTGTGAAAGGACTATGCTATATAAAGTGCTAAGAGCATACACAGCTAAACCCTAAATAAAAATACACTTGCACGAACACGTATGTGCCAAACATTCACCCGATCCAGATGAACTCATCCAAGGTGGAACAGGGTCACATTGCAGAAAATACCTACACAGCTGCCAGCAATGCCCCACATGCACATACACATACACATACGCACATATATATATACATACATATATATAAAATGATATATATAGATGGATATTCGCCACGAACATACGCTATCGAAATCGTCCACGTCATCATCGAAGTCATCCTTCAGTTGCGTGGGTGCGGGTGATGCTTGTTTCTGCGCCGCTGGTGAGGGTTTGCCTATACAAGGGAGGCATAGGCATGAGTAACGTCTGTGAGTATATGCTGAACCAAACCAAATAAACTAGTGTATACATTATAGACTGTGACTGTGTATTCGCGTAGTATGATTTGAGATGTGAAACTAGAACCATAGTGATTTTGCAAATGTTCGTCTAATCAGGTATAGCCTACAGAGGGTTGCTAATGGGCAAGGGATGCAGAACACTCCAGGTATAGTAGGACATCTTGCGTCGCGTCCTATATTTATATTCTGAGCCTATCAAACACTGATCTAGAAAAACCCTAGAACCCTGAAACTCTCCCATCGGAAATTTCAAACCAAACCCGAAACCCCATACTCCAAAACCCGTACACGAATCACATCACATCACTCACGGTGAGCAAGTCTTAAATACCACATCTGCACCTACACCTGATAGAACGGGATTGGGTAAGCGTTCACCAAAACAACTACTGAATACCAAACCACAGTCACGGCCACAGCTACAGCCATAGGAACCAGAACCAGAACCATAATCAGAACCAGAACTACACCCGTACCTGATAACACGGTCTGGAGTTCATCCTCGTCATCGTCACTGTCGTCAAAGTCGTCGCTGGCTTCTTCCGAGTCTTCCTCCGGCGCTTCAATCTTTGGTGGTGCAGGGGATTGGTGTGCCGCGGGTGACCTCTGTTGCTTAGCAAACGCATCTCGTGGCTGTGTTAGGGAAACGGTAGGGGGCACTTGGGTAAGAGAGATGTCATGATTTTAAAAGTATATAGGCACATTCTCATTACGGTTGCTATGGATACCGGTAGGCTGTGTGAGTAATCTAGAGAGAGAGATATATATATACGCATGTGTTGTGTGTGTGTTGATCTATATGTATTTTAACGGATGTAGGGCATATACAACAAAGCCAACTTGATTTCTAATACAAGAAGGAACTTCAGGTATATCCTCAGAAGCACACTCAATACTGACACCCCACATAGACCCACAGCATACCATCTGGAACGTGGGTTCGGGCGTGTTAAATGCAGAGCTGGCTTGCCCCTCTTCCTCTTCCTCAAAGTCCCTATCATCCATACCGTTATTCGTCCCGTTATTAGCCTCGGGTTCTATTTCGGACTCACTATCGGGCTGGGGAGCCTGTGTCTGTGCTCGCACTGGCGATTGCGGTTCTGGCAAACTAGGTTTGGCCTGTAGTACGTGATATACAAGTGTGTGTGAGGGTAATAATGCGAGATGTAATAGTGTGTGGCATTAAAATGTGTTATATCAGTGTATGTGAGGGTATTAATGCGTGATGTACTAGTGTGTGGCATTGACAAGTGTTATATCAGTGTATGTGAGGGTATTAATGAGTGATGTAATAGTGTGGCATTAAAATGTGTTATATCAGTGTATGTGAGAGTATTAATGCGTGATGTGATAGTGTGCTGTACTGATATTTGATATGTTAATGTATGGGATAGTGTGTGTTGCATCAAAATGTGTTATATCAGTGTATGTGAGATGTTAGTGCGTGTTGAAATAGCATGTGAGATATTAGGTGGGTGTAGCTTAGCATAGAATATAGCTGCGAAGTATATATATATACCTGCACCGGACTGACCGGCAACTCAGGCTCCTCGCCACTCTCGCGCACCTCCTCTATCAGATCTCGTCCGAGTGCAGCCTTCATGGCCACATAGTCTGATGCGGCGGCCAGTCCTTCAGACCGGTCCATGCGCTTGTACCTACACCACAAGGCATACAATAGAGGGAGAGAGAGAGAGAGAGAGAGAGAGAGAGAGAGGA